GAAAATTGTAATTGTTATGAAAAAAATTTTTATTTCATAAATTATAAAGAACGGTAAAATGAATAAAAAAACAAAAAAGCAGTACTCTATAAATGAAAAATTTTAGAATCCTTGGCAACAAACATTCAAAAGCCATACTACTGATATCGTTCCAATTTGTACGACAGTTAAACAGAGTTGTAAAACAAAGGGAAACAAAGCATTTTTGAGTTGACCAACGAATTCTATGTAAATTTTTAAGTGCCAAAAAAAAAAGATGAAAAGCCAACTATTATAAATTTTTATTTAAAAAAGTGAACTAATTTATTTCAAACAGACGATAATGATGGACTTTGCAATAATTGCAACAAACATTCAGTGTACCCAACCTGATTACCGTCATCATAAAATTTGTCGTCGTCATATCACCACAGCGGCACCGTTACTATCAATTCCAAACTGAGTTAAACGAAACTAATCGACTACTACAATCAATTTTTGCACAAAACAAGAAAAAAAAAAACAAATTTTTTTGTTAAAAATTAGCATCACTAAAGTTTCCATACAAAAAATTTTCAAACTTTTTTTTTCTAGAGTTTCATGCAGCAAAATAATGATAATGGAAAAAAATTTTTGTAAAGTTAAAAGATGCAGAAAAAAAAAATTTATCAACTTATTTTAGACAACATAACAGACACAGTATTATTATATAACTGCTATCTTTTTTTTTTTTCTATTTCTCGACAACAACCAACAGATTTATAAAAAAAAAAAATATTGAGACAGAAAATTACTTGCAGTTATAAACAATTATTTTTTAACTTTTTTTTTATCATAGTTGTTAACAAAGTGTTAAAATCAATTAATTTAATAAAGAGCAAAAAAACTGAAAAAAAAAAAAAATGCCACTTGAACAAATAAGACAAATTTTCGAAAAAAAAAACGTAGAAAAAGCATTGAAAGTAAACATATTTTTTCCATTTATTTTCAATAAATGAAAACAAAAAAAAAAAGTGTTTTTTTTTTTTGACTTTAAGCTGTATTTTTTATGTTTGGTTGAATAATAACAGACTGAATGTATAGATGGAGATAAATGGTTGAATAGCCGAAGAAATAGTTGAACGGATGAATGAACGGATGGATGACTGAATAGAGCGATAGCTGAATGAATAGATATTTCAGTTACGGTGATCAACTGAATCGTAAGTAATTGCTATAAAACCATTTGTTTAAAAAATTTTCTTCTGTTTTGCTCAACGTTTTTTTTTTTTTTTTTTCTTTTCACAACCAAATGTTGTACAAAGTTGTCAGCACTGAATTATTAATCCCATATTTTTGGATAACCAAAACAACTCATATCAATTATTTAAACATATTTTTGCTATGACTTTCATATCTCAGTGTTAGCGGTTAATCTGCAGTTGCAGTTTTTGCTTAATTTGACAAGTGAAAAAAACATGATAATACTTTGTTCAAAAAAATTATTTCCAACAGCAGCTGTCAACAAATTTTTCATAAAACCAACAAAATACCGAGTCTAAAGTTGACAATACAATTCTATCAACCAGTAAAAGCAGTTGTAAAGTTTAAGCAATCACTCTGTTGTTTATTGCTGAAAATACTATCCAAATATCTTGGAATAGTTTGTAAATTAATATTTTAATAAAACAATTATTGTTTCTCAATCATTCAACAATATTCCAATACATATGCATTATGCAAATTATCATCATTACATTCGCCAATTACTGCATTTGACGTGAAAAGAAATGTTTAAAAGATTCAAAAAAAAAAAAA